AGCGTCTCTGTGGACTTCACCACCGGCAGAGGATCAGTGTGGGTGGTGCTATGAGATTGGGTGGATCTCTGACTGCCACCCCCCTGACCCAGAAAGGGATCTAATGGGTAGAAAATGGATGGATGGATGGATGTCAATTTCTTTCAAACATTGCCTTTGTCAGCTACTTGTCAACCATCTGGTCTAATCTTTTTCTCATAAAAGGTGTTAGAAGTGTGAAGATATCATAATAAACAAAATATGAAAGGATGTTGGCTGTAAGAAAAGTCAATTATATTATGGCAGGTTTGTGAAAAACTAATCACTAATAAATTCCTAATTCTGGGTTATATTGGATGTTTAATTGTTTCAACCTTTTTGATCTCCTTTCCATATAATTGTTTTTGCTCGCCACTTTCTCACTGAATTTAAGTCTGAACCTACCTATGCAAAGGTAAAAAAAACTGGTAGTGGTTTTTTGGTGTGAAAGATAGACTGCATCAACTTGTAAGGCTCAAAAGTACTGAAGCAGAGGGAGAAGGCCTTCATCAGGAGACCCTCCTCCCTCTGTAACCTTGAGGTTTACTGTCTTCTTGTGCCTCGAGCTAAGTGATCCCCAGCATGATTCACGACTGTTTGTGGCACAGATGATGTATTTAAACTTAAAGTTTCTGGTCTAATGAGGCCAGGTCTATAAGCGCTCACTATGGGCATCCTGATCTCTGGGCACATGGATCTTCAAGAGGGAGTGAAGCGAAACAGAAGCCTGATCGTGGGCTTGTTTGTAGAGATGTGGCAAGGATAATGCTCAAGTGTAAAAAAGAAATTAGGGAAAGGAATAAATGTTGGTATAAACAAAGAAGGTTGCATCTGGGTTTTCACGGTTATGTTCAGGCTCCATGGCCATTGACATTAAAAGGACCATGTACAGTACGGCGAAATTAAAATTGATGGGCATTGTGATCTGCCCCTTTTGGACCAATTGTGTTTCTTTATTGTTGCCTTTCCTGTGTCGTTGAACAGTTGGATTCTCTGAATTGTGTTGGTGAATCCACATCATGTAGTCCCTCAGAGATTATATAGTGTTGCAATTTAGGGCTATACCAAAAATAAATTGACATTGAATTGAACCTGAAACTTCCTTGTCTTCAGTGAGTCTGATTAACCAAAGCCGATGGCTCTAGTGATAGGCTTTAAACAGTCCAGTGAGGCTGGACATTTCTTGACTTAAAGTTTCCTTTCTGCTGCACAGTGACTGGCCCCCCGGACATAGAGCACATTCACATGAACGGATTTTTACCAAGGTTTAGTTGCTCCAATAAGTTTATCCATCACTTTTGTTACTAAAAACTTACAGTTATATTTTGTACAATCCATGCATCTTTGAAAACAGCTGTTATCAGTTTGAATGGGGCTGTCTATTTGAGGTCATTACTCTCACAATTACAGCACCTGGTATCATCAAAAACAAGATACTTTGACCGGGGACATTCATATACTTGATCGCTCTTGAACGTTGTTAAACGATGAGGACATAGTCTGAATGGTGTAATTAGTACATCATCGTCATAACGTTGCATTGTATTTTGCCAGTGTGAATATTCCATTCTAATTGTCTTGCTTGAGTAATGGAGAGTGGAGCCCTGTCTGCTGGTCAGTCAGATCGGACAGCGCACCATGCATCTTGTGGTGATGGACAAATGGGCGCTGCTCAAAACCATGACTCAGGGCAGACCGTGATTGGACATCCTTCCCTAATCGTGACTTTGTGTGGGAAGATTTGGTTTTTTCATATTAGTAAAAATGTGTGCTTCTATGATTGACAAAACTATGAGAGAGGTATCTGTTATGTTGCTGGAACTTCATAAAGTCTTTGCAACACATCTTAATTAAGGATTGGGCATTGCCCCTTTCTTCAATGCAAGGACTGTTCACCTCTGCAGCCTTCATAAAAGACGGCTATTAACCCCCGAGTTACAGGTGGTTCATGACTTCTCTTTAGGCTAGTATCAGGGAAATGAATCTCTGGGGGAAAGAAGCTTCTACAAGTTGTAATGAAGCGTACAGTTTAGCCATTTTGCGGTGTGTGGTTCAGTTGTGTTATGGTACAGAGACGTTTTTTCAAGGTCACAGCGTCCAAAGAAGGGGCAATTTGTGGTGGCTGATTAAATTGTAAAGATCATGTGGGCATATACTGCTTGAGCTTTGTGCGAGAAGTTATTCAAACCTGTTTGGTCCAAGGTGAGAGGAGAGAGGTTGTTTTAAGTAAAATACATAGTTAAACAGTTAGCAATTAAACCCATAATCATAAAACATTCTTTAATTTTGAGTTCACTCACTGAGGGTATCACTGATTAGATGCCCAAATAATGGTGAGAATAACTAGATGTGACCATTGGGGAAATTCCGGAAGAGCGGTGCGGTGCTTGATAGGAAATATTCCATTTCTATGCTTTACAGGTCTGACTAGGATTTGTGGGTGCGGTGATTAGTAAATAATACAGATGGAGCATGAAATCCGCTTTTCATCGTAAATCCTTTAAAAAGGCATGGTCTTAAGTTTATTTCCTAAAATTTAAAGAAATGAACAATTGGTAAAACATCATATGAATTCATTGGCCTTAAATCTGCTGTTAAAGTTTTAAAATCCCATTGAATGTTTAATCAGAAATTGGCTTAGCTTCGTAACTCTGTATTCATCGAGAACAAAAGGCAGTTATCAACCTTTCAAATGCTTTATTTGACATGGATTTGCTGAAGGAAAATGTTTGGGTGGGCACAGTTTTGTTTCAATTTCCATTCAATTAAATTATTATTCTTCTAATGCCCTAAATCACAACACTTGTTATCTAGGAGGACATTACAAAACCGTTGAATTCACCAACACAGATCGGATTTTGTGGGGATTTTAGTGTCCCTTCTCATCCTGAACTTGTTTCTTCTAAATCTTACGGTTTTCTTTAAATCCTCACTTTCCTGCCACAAACTCTGCTCCTTTCCTTCCCGCTCTGACTCCGCTATGCTGCTGCTCTGATCAGCTCTGATTGGTCAGAGCTCGGCCGAGCCCCTCTGTGCACGTGCATGAAAGCCACACACATGTATTTAGCGCAAAGCATCATGGGAGCTCGTCCACTGCACAGAACCGGGAGGACCGGACGATGCCCAAATATAGGCGAGTCCAGCTAATCTCCCGGTCTCCATGAAATCCCATGAACTACTGAGCACAAGCCATTCATTTGAACAGGGCGACATCTTGGATCACCGGGGCTTGGGCGGGTCCCAGCTCAAAAATATCCAAAATGATGTGCAACGCAATACCACCCCAGGCCTGTGGGGGTGGGCCTGGGAAAAGAATTATTCAGTGCTAATGGATAGCATCTTCTTATCTCTTAAACGGCTTTACAGGATGGTTCTAAAGTGGCTCTTGGTCCAAAAGTAGCTCTGAGGGGAGTGTTTCTTTTGGACCAGTCTAGTTTAGTTGCTGTGGAATTTTGAATGCACTTGGTAAATGACTGGAGCTGGTGCAGCTAACACGTGCACAAATGCGTTTTTTCACATTTTCCAGCCCCCGCGGCCATTTTAAAACTGCCCATAGTCGGTGAAAGTGGTGACACATTAGATTAGAGAAAGCCGTGACTACATCTGTCTGATTCTTTGATCTGTGTTTGCAATTTCAACAGTTTTGTAAAGTCCCAGAAAACTACTGTTGGGATTTTAAATTGCATTGAAGCTGTTCCGGGAGAGCAGCGGCGACATTGAACATTTACAGTGTGATGTTTTGAGGCTGTTTGTGCTGATCCAGGTCATACGTAGCTCTGGGGGTCCGGGCAGATGGTCCGCCCGGCTGTGCCTCCGGAGCCAGGACAGACTGTGGGGACGGATCTCAATCACACGAGCCTAACCCTGGACTGACGACGGCTGCGAACACATTTGGGAAGTTTCAGTGCTTCTGACACATTCTGTTAGATTTAACATCAGTGGCTTTACATCTTCAGTTGGAGCCGAGTCACGTCAAAATGTCCCAAGATTCTGAGCATCGAGAAGAAGAAGAAGGGAATATCTGCATAGGACAAAACATACCAAGTGCTCTAGGAAACCAGAGGAAACATTAAAATCAAGTCAAAAGAGGCTCCACCTGTATGTGAAATCCAGATCCTGTCAGACCTGTGAGGCTAAGCAGGGCAGGGCTGGGTAAGTGCTGTGATGGGAGACCTCTGGGAACACTAGGTGCCACTGTGGGGCGGCTGCGGCTGTAAGAAGGATAAACACATCAAAGCATGCAGCGTACATTACTTCCACGCTCCTCATTGGCAAAGTGGGTTAAGTGTCTTGCCCAAGGACACAACGCCAGCAGTGGGAGTCGGTGGAGAAAGTCTTGTGGTGGGCTCGAACCCATGACCTTTAGGCTCAAAGGCTACTGCTCTACCAGCTGAGCCACTGTCGTAAAACTGTGGTTGTGTCCTTAGGCAAGACACTTGGTGGTGGTGGGAGGGGCTGATGGCACGTACTGGCTGCCTCGCTGCTGTCATTCAACCCCAGGGCAGCCGTGGCTACAATATTGAATGAATCATGTCAATCAAGCATCATTTAGTGTCTAAAACCAATGCATTATAAGATAAGATCGACTTTATTGATCTCACACAGGAGAAATGTTTTTAGTACGAAAATAACAAATTCATGTGTTATTGTATGGCCCTCAATCACAACTGTTAGATCAGAGAATCAAACCGTTCAAAACCGTTGGTCCAAAAGGAGAAGAGACCAACGTCCATAAATGTTGAATGTGGAGAGATCCAGAGTCCTGGATCATGGCTTTGAAATAACTTTGCCAGAATCCATAGAGACGCTTTTGCATTTGGTTTCTTCTACATCCGGTGACACAGACGTGAATATTGCTCCTTCACCTGATGCTCTTAGTGTTACGGTCTTAAGTGCGGGCGGTCTACTTAGCCTCAGTCCGATCTTCCACATCTGCAGAGAAAACCCATTTGCGCCGGCACTTCCTGATTGGCGAAAGCTGCATGAAAAGCGCAGCGGAGAATGTGACGCTCAGGGCTGACGGCTCAGGGTCCGGCTCAGGGTCCGGACCCGGGCGACGGAGCCTTGAGCGAGGCTGTGGTTTAGCATTCAGCCATTTCCTCTTGTGCACCAGAGAGAAACAGTCACAGACGCAAAACATGTCAAAACCATCTGGAGAAACCACATGGTATTGGACCATAGGGAGGGACCACATGGTATTGGACCATAGGGAGGGACCACATGGTATTGGACCATAGGGAGAGACCACATGGTATTGCTGCATGAATACTGCCTCCTCATGTTTAGTCCTGACTCTGGGACCAGCAGGAGGCCAGTCCCTGTGCTCCTCAGAGTCCCAGCAGGAGGCCAGTCCCTGTGCTCCTCAGAGTCCCAGCAGGAGGCCAGTCCCTGTGCTCCTCAGAGTCTCAGCAGGAGGCCAGTCCCTGTGCTCCTCAGAGTCTCAGCAGGAGGCCAGTCCCTGTGCTCCTCAGAGTCCCAGCAGGAGACCAGTCCCTGTGCTCCTCGGAGTCCCAGCAGGCCAGTCCCTGTGCTCCTCAGAGTCCCAGCAGGAGGCCAGTCCCTGTGCTCCTCAGAGTCTCAGCAGGAGGCCAGTCCCTGTGCTCCTCAGAGTCCCAGCAGGAGACCAGTCCCTGTGCTCCTCAGAGTCCCAGTAGGAGGCCAGTCCCTGTGCTCCTCAGACTTCTCTACACTGAAGTGATCAAAGATAAGCTTCGTCCAATCTTTCCAAACTGTATTTTTTAATCTGTAAGTTTGAAATAAACACTTTTTGACTAACAAGATTTTCAAATGAGACAAACAAAAAGAAGCAACGTGTCTTGAAATGAGACTAAATGATTGTCCCTTTGACAAATCTTGTTTTGTAGAAGTAAAAAAACTGCAAAAATTTAGATAAAAACTGGATTTATTTTATTTTTATGTTTTATCATTTTTGGCCGTGCATCTTCAAATCCCTCGAATTGTTTCCCGTTAAAAACCAATCACTCACCTTCATGCTCTGGGGAACGCAGGCACTGGGGCGAGGTAAGTGTCTTGCTCAAGGACACACAGCAGCCATCACCAACAGCAGCAGGATTTCAACCAGCAGCTTTTCTTTGGGAGCGCACACTTCTCTGTTTCTGTGTTCGTTTGACTGTAACTGTCACAGAGACGAGCTGTGATTGGAACATCTGAAAGGCACGGCTACAACTACACGGCTGAGAACAGCACCTGTGTTCTAGTCCCACCGGAGACCGCCCAGACCGGAGACCGCCCAGACCGGAGACCGCCCAGACCGGAGACCGCCCAGACCGGAGACCGCCCAGACCGGAGACCGCCCAGACCGGAGACCGCCCAGACCGGAGACCGCCCAGACCGGAGACCGCCCAGACCGGAGACCGCCCAGACCGGAGACCGCCCAGACCGCGGTCACATTTCTATGACTGAGGTGGATAAAGGGTCAAGGGAGGAAATATGGAACTATTATTTCTTACTACTTCTTAACTTGTTTTATTTGATGTATTTGTCTTGTCCAGGGGTGTCCAAACTTTTAGAAAGACAGCCACTTGACCTGGGGGCGTTTAAAAAACTGGATTCGAGCTGGATTAACTGGATTATTGAATTTAAAATGGGCTGCATTTTATTTGGAATGTGACTGTATTGGTGGAGCTGAAGTTGGCTGGATGACACTGTCAAAGTGCCTCAATAGCGACTTTGGGTTATAGCAGCAGAGACACGCTTGGTCGAGTCTGTTGAGACATCCTCATTGATATGTTTATAATTTGTGACTTTATTAAGTCAAAACTTTGCCGCCGCTTTCCCAGGACTCCATTAAAAAGGTTCTAAATCTCAATGGGACAATCCTGGTTGAATTAAAGTGCAATAAAAAAAGAAAAGTGCACAGTTACAGACTTTGCACATGTATTCCACTGTGGTTTTACTGCAAATAAGTGAATACAGTTCAATAAAAACGTTTCCAACGCAGTAACAATCCACAAAATCATTTAGCAGCAAATGGAGAATATGCAAATTACTGGTGTATGCGCGACAGTAGCTCAGTTGGTAGAGCGTTGCCCTTTAGAGCCTGAAGGTCATGTGTTCGAGCCCACTGTAAGACCTACTTCACGATTCCCACTGATGTCTGCTGTCGCTGTGTCCTTGGGCAAGACACTTAACCCCACTTTACCTGAAGCCCCCGCTGACAGATCTCAGCTCCTGTGGACTCAGCACCTGCAGGAGGATCAGTGAGAGGCTGGTGCTCTGACTGCCACCCCCGACCCAGAAATGGATTAAAGGGAAGAAAATTGATGGATGGATGGATAAAAAGTGTGACCAGTGTGGGCGAAGTGGCTCATGGTCCAAAGAAATCTCACTGTGTCAGTAAAACCGGGTTAGTTTTTCTTTTTGTTGATCCCAGAATCCAGACTTTCTCCTGAGCGCTCATTCTCCTGATCGCCCGCAACTATTTCTCGCATTTTTCGCAGCTCTATTCTGATGGAATTAGAAGAAAAAAGGACCTTCATCTGGTCGCAGGGGGGCATCAAACTGATCACAGATGATTTAGTAAAACCTCTCTCCAAACGTCTGAATCTGGCTAACTCTGTAGCACTCTCTCCATCGAAGAAACTATAAACGAGATCGTCCAATTGGATCATTTCAAAGTTAACACCAAATCACATCTGAAGGCACACGACCGGTACCAGAGGGAAGAAGCTGAAACAGAAGAGTCTCTGAGTATTCTAGAGCTCGGTTCAAAAGTCTAGATTCATGAAGTGAGGTTTTAAAATGTTCTTCTGATTTTTCATGTTTTGGGCCAAGGGAGAAAAGTACATCATGTGTCATAAGATTGAATCCAAGTAATCCATAGTACTTGTAGCTATTATTGTGTGGCTTTTTATTATTATTACTATTTTGTGGCCTGTTAAAGTGAAAGCTGTGTGTGTGTGTGTGACAGAGACGCTGCTTGTCGAGTAAATCCTGTTTTCCACAGTCAAATGTAATTAGTGTGTGTCTGTGTGCGTCTGTTTTGGTTCATCTGACGTGTGGCGGTGAGAGAGAGGTTCAGTGTTTACCTTTAAACACAGGACACTAATACACCCTTAACCTTTCCTTGTGCTTCCCAAACAGAGGAGCAAGGACCGTAATGTATGTGTGTTTGGATGCTGAAGGAGTCTATAGCCGTGTGTGTGTGTGTGTGTGTGTGTGTGTTGCGGTTTGATTTAGCTTATAGCATTGCTTGTGTATGTGTGTGTGCTTTGGTTTGAATGAGCCTATAGCCTTGTGTGTATGTGTGTGTGTCTCTGTATGTGCGTGTGCTGTGTTTTGAATGAGCCTATAAGTGTGTCGCTGTGTGTGTATGTTGCGGTGTGTGTGTGTGTGTGTGTGTGTGTGTGTGTGTGTGGTCCATTGTGGATCGATTCACACCTTCTCCCCTAACGCTGATGGACGGCTGTGACTGTACGGGTGCCCTGAAGGGACACGTCTGTGAAGCACCAGCTTTGAAAAGTACATGGTCATACATGTTTAGATCCGCCCCAACATCTTCAGCCTCTGCCTCCGGGACAGAGGACGTGACGGGGGGATTGAGGAGAAAGAATCCACCGCCCGACAATATCCCCAGTCGAGGTCAGCAGCTCTCCACCCGCACCATACACGGTGTTGGCAAAGCACTGCTTCCCCCTCCTGAGGCGCCGGACGGTTTGCCAGAATCTCTTCGAGGCCGACCGATAGTCATGCTCCATGGACTCTCCGAACTCCTCCCAGTCCCGGGTTTTTGCCTCTGCAACAGCCCGGGCCGCGGCACGTTTGGCCTGCCGGTACTGGACAGCTGCCTCAGGAGTCCCACGAACCATCATGGCTCGATAGGACTCCTTCTACAGTCTGACAGCATCCCTTACTGCCGGTGTCCACCACCGGGTTCGGGGGTTGCCGCCGGGACCAGCACCAGAGACCTTGCGTCCACAGCTACGAGCCGCGGCATCGGCGATAGAGGAAGAGAACGTGGTCCACTCAGACTCGATGTCCCCCTCCTCCACCGGGACCTGGGAGAAACTCTCCCGGAGGTGTGAGTTGAAAGTCCGTCTGACAGGGGGCTCAGCGAGACGTTCCCAGCAGACCCTCACTACACGCTTGGGTCTGCCAGGTCTGACCGGCTTCTTCCCCTGCCAGCGGATCAAACTCACGACCAGGTGGTTAGCTCCGCCCCTCTCTTTAGCTCCGCCCCTCTCTTCACCCGAGTGTCCGAGACACAAAGTCGATCATCAACCTCAGGTCCTGGCGCCCCCTGGTGGACACCCTTGTGCTGGAACACGGTGCTGGTGATGGACAGTCCTCTGCAAAGTCCCCTCCTCCCTCACCCACCTCCCCTCTCCCTCACCCGCCTTCCCTCCTCCCTCACCTGCCTCCCCCCCTCCTCCCTCCTCCGCCTCCCCTCCTCTCCTCCCTCACCTGCCTCCCTCCCCTCCTCCTCCTCCCTCACCCGCCTCCCCTCCCCTCCTCCCTCACCTGCCTCCCCTCCTCCCTCACCCGCCTCCTCTCCTCCCTCACCTGCCTCCCCTCCCCTCCTCCCTCACCCGCCTCCCCTCCCCTCCTCCCTCACCTGCCTCCCCTCCTCCTCCTCCCTCACCCGCCTTCCCTCCTCCTCCACCCTCACCCGCCTCCCCTCCTCCTCCTCCCTCACCCGCCTTTCCTCCTCCTCCTCCCCTCCCCCTCCCCCCCCCCTCCTCCCTCACCCGCCTCCCCTCCTCCTCCTCCCTCACCCGCCTTCCCTCCCCTCCTCCCTCACCTGCCTCCCCTCCTCCCCACCTGCCTCCCCTACCCTCCTCCCTCAGGTTCTCTGTCAGCTGAGGTCGAGCTGTTTTAGTTTAAATTGAGTTCTACGGGACTTTTTTCTGGGTAGCCCTCGTGAATTTAGTCTGCAGTACCACAGCGCCCCCTGTGGCCATAGATGGGACAGCTCTAAGCTAGTATTACCCTATCCAGTTATTATTATAGATCCATGGGGAAAATCTATGGGGTAAGGTTACTGTCAATAAAGACGTGCATGTCTAAAAAAATGCGGGCATATTTATTGGTATTTGTGCAAAAAAATATTTTATTAATTCATGATTAAGATAATACAAACTAAAAATACATGGAATTTCGTAATTAAGAATAAAAAAATATAAAACTGTATGTGTGATTTTGTTTTTGTGAATGCAATTTTTTTTGTGCTTGCATTTTCTTTTTGAGAATACGAATTTCAGCAGTGAGCAAACTGTCAATATGACGTCACTGCTCACAGACATTAACAATCGAGCCTGCACAGAGTCGATCAACTTCATTGCCCCAAAACTAAACATGGCAGAGGGACACAACATAAATAACGTGGCTCAAAATCAGGTATATAACTATATTTTATCATTTTGGTCGTAAATGAATGTGTAAGAAATATTAATTCCATAAATGTGTTCATGAGAAGATGTTTCTTGTCCCTCTAAAGGTTTTTTGGCAGTGTTGTTAGCTCCAATGCTAGTGTTATTTTTTTATCCTTATATTGTTTTATTCTACAGAAAATAATGCATTTATTTTAGTCTAAACAACAGACTAACTAGCGTTACTGAACTAGTGAGTAAAAGTAATGTGTCAAATGTACAAATATAAGCTACGTCTAACAACCGAGGATGAGTATAGCACGGAGGTGTTCTTCATGTTGCTCAGGGGCAGTAACAGCGCGAACTATGAATAATCTGGAGGGTTGGGGCTGGTATCAACACATTAACCACATTGATTTGGGGCCAAGGCTTCATAAAATGTAAATGCTAAGAATGTATAAATGTTGGTTTTAAAGAACATGGTAAGCTGTAAAACTAGCCTTGAAGCTAGTGTTAACTAAACACTGCCTAAAAAAACGTTTCTAGAGGGACAAGAAACATCTTATGAACACATTTTATGGAATTAATATTTCTTACAGTTATTTACGACCAAAATGATCAAATAGTTATTTACCTGATTTTTAGCCAAATTGTTAATGTTGTTGCCCTCTGCCATGATCAACTCTGCGCAGGCTCGATTGTTAATGTCTGTGAGCAGTGACGTCATATTGACAGTTTGCTCACTGCTGAAATTCGTATTCTCAAAAAGAAAATGCAAGCACACAAAAAATCGCATTCACAAAAACAAAATCACACATACAGTTTTATATTTTTTTATTCTTAATTACGAAATTCCATGTATTTTTAGTTTTATTATCTTAATCATGAATTAAAAAAATATTTTTTTGCACAAATACCAATAAATATGCACGCATTTTTTTTTAGACATGCACGTCTTTATTGACAGTAACCTTACCCCATAAAAATCCTCCTATTTACAAGATAATACAGAATAAGATAAGATAGACTTTTATTGATCTCTGATGGAGAAATGTCACACTCAGATTGTGCAAAAGACAGAAGTGTGCATTATGTTAAAGATTAAAAATATAGTCTGTGCAGGATATAATTATGTACAATAAAAGAGCGGCAATTTCATACTTTCACGTAATAGATCCATCCATCCATCCATTTTCTTCCGCTTTATCCGTTGCCGGGTCGCGGGGGCAGCAGTCTAAGCAGAGACGCCCAGACTTCCCTATCCACACACACTTCCTCCAGCTCGTCCGGGGGGACCCCAAGGCGTTCCCAGGCCAGCTGAGAGACATAGTCTCTCCAGCGTGTCCTGGGTCTTCCCCGGGGCCTCCTCCCGGTGGGACGTGCCCGGAACACCTCCCCAGGGAGGCGTCCAGGAGGTATCCGGAACAGATGCCCGAGCCACCTCAACTGGTTCCTCTCGACGTGGAGAAGCAGCGGCTCTACTCCGAGCTCCTCCCGTGTGACTGAGCTCCTCACCCTATCTCTAAGGGAGCAGCCACTCTGCGGAGGAAGCTCATTTCGACCGCTTGTATCCGCGATCTCGTTCTTTCGGTCATTACCCAAAGCTCATGACCATAGGTGAGGGAGGGAACGAAGATTGACCGGTAAATCGAGAGCTTTGCCTTTCGGCTCAGCTCCCTCTTTACCACAACGGTCCGATACAGCTCTGACTGCAGACGCTGCTCCCTCTTCACCACAACGGTCCGATACAGCGACCGCATCACTGCGCACGCTGCACCGATCCGCCTGTCAATCTCACGCTCCATTCTTCCCTCACTCGTGAACAAGACCCCGAGATACTTGAACTCCTCCACTTGAGGAAGGACCTCTCCACCCACCTGCAGAGGGCAAGGCACCTTTTTCCGGTCGAGCACCATGGCCTCGGATTTGGAGGTGCTGATTCTCATCCCAGCCGCTTCACACTCGGCTGCAAACCGCTCCAGTGCATTCTGCAGGTCCTGGTTCGTTGGAGCCAACAGGACAACATCGTCCGCAAACAGCAGAGATGAAATCATGTGGTCTCCGAACCGGACCCCTCCGGCCCCTAGCTGCGCCTAGAAATTCTGTCCATAAATACAGTGAACAGAACCGGTGACAAAGGGCAGCCCTGTCGGAGGCCAACATTCACCGGGAACAGGTCTGACTTACTGCCGGCAATGCGAACACAGCTCTGGCTCCGGTCATACAGGGATCGGATGGCCCTCAGCAGAGGACCTCCGACCCCGTACTCCCGGAGAACCCCCCAAAGGACACCCCAGGGAACACAGTCGAACGCCTTCTCCAAATCCACAAAGCACATGTGGACAGGTTGGGCGAACTCCCATGAACCCTCGAGTATCCGATGGAGAGTATAGAGCTGGTCCAGTGTTCCGCGACCGGGACGAAAACCACACTGCTCCTCCTGGATCCGAGATTCGACCATCGGCCGTAGCCTCCTCTCCAGTACCTTGGAGTAAACCTTACCGGGGAGGCTGAGGAGTGTGATCCCACGATAATTGGAACACACCCTCCGGTCCCCCTTCTTGTAGAGAGGGACCACCACCCCGGTCTGCCACTCCATTGGCACTGCCCCCGATCGCCACGCGATGTTGCAGAGACGTGTCAGCCAAGACAGTCCTACAACATCCAGAGACTTAAGATAATCAGGACGGATCTCATCCACACCCGGAGCCTTGCCACCATGGAGGCTGCCAACCACCTTGGTGACCTCAGCTAGGGAGATGGATGTATCCGCCCCAACATCCTCAGCCTCTGCCTCTGTAACAGAGGACGTGACGGGGGGATTGAGGAGAACCTCAAAGTATTCCTTCCACCGCCCGACAATATCCCCAGTCGAGGTCAGCAGCTCTCCACCCGCACCGTACATGGTGTTGGCAAAGAACTGCTTCCCCCTCCTGAGGCGCCGGATGGTTTGCCAGAATCTCTTCGAGGCCGACCGATAGTCATGCTCCATGGACTCTCTGAACTCCTCCCAGTCCCGGGTTTTTGCCTCTGCAACAGCCCGGGCCGCGGCACGTTTGGCCTGCCGGTACTGGACAGCTGCCTCAGGAGTCCCCCGAACCATCATGGCTCGATAGGACTCCTTCTTCAGCCTGACAGCATCCCTTACGGCCGGTGTCCACCACCGGGTTCGGGGGTTGCCGCCGGGACCAGCACCAGAGACCTTGCGACCGCAGCTACGAGCCGCCACATCGGCGATTGAGGCAGAGAACATGGTCCACTCAGACTCCATGTCCCCCTCCTCCGCCGGGACCTGGGAGAAACTCTCCCGGAGGTGTGAGTTGAAAGTCCGTCTAACAGGGGGCTGAGCGAGACGTGCCCAGCAGACCCTCACTACACGCTTGGGTCTGCCAGGTCTGACCGGCTTCCTCCCCTGCCAGCGGATCCAACTCACGACCAGGTGATGATCGGTTGACAGCTCCGCCCCTCTCTTTACCCGAGTGTCCGAGACACGCGGTCGAAGGTCAGATGATACGACAACAAAGTCGATCATCGACCTCCGGCCTAGGGTGTCCTGGTGCCACGTGCACTGGTGGACACCCTTGTGCTCGAACATGGTGTTCGTGATGGACAAACTGTGACTAGCACAGAAGTCCAACAACTGAACACCGCTCGGGTTCAGATCAGGGGGGCCGTTCTTCCCGATCACCCCTCTCCAAGTGTCACTGGCGTTTCCCACATGGGCGTTGAAGTCCCCCAGGAGAATAACGGAGTCCCCGGGCGGTGCACCGTCCAGTACCCCTCCCAAGGACTCCAAGAAGGCCGGGTACTCTGCACTGCTGTTAGGCCCGTAGGCCGTCACAACAATGAGAGACTTGTCCCCCACCCGGAGGCGGAGGGACGCGACCCTCTCATTCACCGGGGAGAACTCTAACACGTGGCGGCTGAGATGGGGGGCAATGAGTATGGCCACCCCAGCTCGCCGCCTCTCCCCGCGGGAAACTCCAGAAAAGTGGAGCGTCCAACCCCTCTCAAGGAGTTGGGTTCCAGAGCCCAAGCTGTGTGTGGAGGTGAATTGCACGGTTCAAGGATATATACACTAGTGGAGAATACTATTTGTTGTTTTTGTAATTGCCTGAGATGCCAAGAAACTTTCTCCACAATCACATTATTCTCAGTGTGAGCTGCTGCTGTCTGCTCCGGCCCCGACCTTTCCGTTCATATTACACAACACCCATGCAGTCAAGATAAGATATTCATTTACTCGTCTCACATTAACCATACGCTGCTCTTCACGTCAGCGCTGTGTCTATAGAAAGGTAATTACAAGAACAAATTATTAGTTCATTAGATTAGGGACAGTACACATTAATAAACATGACTGTAGGATAAGCTGTACATCTGGTCCCAGGGCAGCGTGAGAAATGTTTTGGACTATCGACCTCTGAATGTAAGTGTTCTGAGCAGTGGCGGCGGATCCCGGCTCCAAAAGGTCCATGAGAACGTGCACCGACAGGCAGCAATCTCACTCCAGGTCTGTGGGGGTGTACCCGGAAAGAGAATAACCTAATGCTTTTGTATGGCGTCCACATTCCTCTCGAAAACGTCTTTACAGAATGGTCCAAAAGTGGCTCCTGGTCCAAAAGTGGGTCTTGGTCCAAAAGTGGGTCTTGGTCCGAAAGTGGGTCTTGGTCCGAAAGTGGGTCTTGGTCCGAAAGTGGGTCTTGGTCCAAAAGTGGGTCTTGGTCCAAAAATGGGTCTTGGTCCGAAAGTGGCTCTTGATCCGAAAGTGGCTCTTGCTCCGAAAGTGGGTCTTGGTCCAAAAGTGGGTCTTGGTCCAAAAGTGGGTCTTGGTCCAAAAATGGGTCTTGGTCCGAAAGTGGCTCTTGATCCGAAAGTGGGTCTTGGTCCAAAAATGGGTCTTGGTCCAAAAGTGGGTCTTGGTCCAAAAGTGGTTCTTGGTCCAAAGTATGCTCTTGGTCCTCCTGGTTCCAGATGCTGTCGATGTCGAGGGGAGTTTATATATTTTTTGACTAGTCTAGTTCAGCCGCTGTGGACTTTTGAATGCACTCATTAAATGAATGGGGCCAGTGCAGCTGACTCATGCACACATGATACAGCCTCCGGTTCGAAAGTGTGTTTTCATTATTTTCCTGTGGGAAGGGCTGCTGGCGGCCATTTTGAAAAGGTCTCCCTAGTACGTATCTATCGTAAGCATGCGTCATCAATATTTGAAGTGAAGACATCTAAGTCTTTTTTTGTTTGATCTGGAAGAAAATAAACCTCGACATGTCCCCATCCCTTGTGTCCAAATCCTCATTTTTCAAACACACTTCATGACGACAAGCCTACATTTTAAAACACATTTTCACACATACTCAAATTACTTTTGCATCGCCCAAAATCACAGCAGTAATTGTCTCAAAGGGCAGAAATGTCACTTTGCCAACAGTAGATTAGAAAAACATATGGAGCAATGAAAGATGCAGACATTGGTTTTTTGCATCGCTTCACATGTCAATGTTCTTTCACTCTATACACAGTGGTGGTAAACCGATACGGTACAGCTGCCCTGGGACAGATTGGCATAAAGCGTGGCGACCAGTCTGTACCATCGGCTCGTTTACCCACCACCAGCCGTTCACACACAAGACTGATTCACGAGTCATTGTTCCATTGGACTGTTGGGGTGGGTATGTATTGCCTCCACTCCACAGATTGTTTAGATGGACAATGCAATGAAACCTGATCGGGAAAGTGCTCATGGACGAAGTTTTGCTCTTTCTGGCTCCTATTGACGTAAACTCCTCTAGCTCAGGTTGAAAATCTGTGGCTGAACGCTCTCTGCGAGGCCTTAAAAGTACAAGAATTGATCTGTAAGAAACATTTGTATTTCCAGTGGTTCTCAAACGTGACTCAAGGACATTTGTCGTTGTTATTGAGGTCTTTGGAGAATTGTTGACAAAGTGTTGTTGGAGAGCAACAACACTTTGTCAACATTATAAGTATCAATGTTCATAATGGATGATGCTTCTTTTAACCTTGAGTCGTTACTTTCCATTTGGACTAATTCCCTCGGAGTATTCTCTCTTTGAGCTGGAAGTCTAAATGGGACGATTCTAAAGCAGACGTCTGAGGTTAGAGTCGCCATCTTGAGAACAGAAAAAGCTACATCCAAACTGTTTCATCACATACTTCCATTGTTTGTGGCTTTAAACCCAGGTCCCTCAGCTTTAAACCCTGAGCCACTGAGTCATAAATTCTAACTGAGTGTATCTGACAGAAACACGACCCGACATCTCACCCACTACTCAAAAAGCCACATTCTCTCTGCGTCCGGGGTCTCCTCCGGGGTCTGGTCCAGGGTCTTTTCCAGGTTCTCGTCCGGGGTCTCCTCCGGGGTCTAGTCCAGGGTCTATTCCAGGGTCTCGTCCTGGGGTCTTGTCCAAAGTCTCATCCAGGGTCTTGTCCTGGGGTCTCCTCCGGGGTCTCTTCCGGGATTTTGTCTGGGGTCTAGTCCGGGGTCTTGTCCAGGGTCTCGTCCAGGGTCTTGTCCAGGGTCTTGTCCGGGGTCTAGTCCGGGGTTGAGTCCAGAGTCTAGTCCAGGGTCTCATCGTGAGTCGTAATGTTTTTATTTGTGAGTGACTTTCTGGGCGACTCTGCCTCGGTGAAAGGACAGTATAGTTTGGAGATCCGGGTCCGGTCCACAGAGATTTGGGATCCATTAGGTCCAGACTGTTCAGACTGAGGAGAGTGAAGGAAGGAGACGAGGAGAACAAGCATCATTCCGCACTCAGGGTTCAGAACTCGTCCTTCAGACTGACATCAACAAGTGAATGGCTTTAGGCTCGTGTTTGTGTCCTTCTTTCTCTAAAGTGCAGCGATGACACTGACATTTCCGCGCTGTGAGACCAACAAAGAAACATCTGATCTTATGATTCTAAAAACCGCAGCTTTAATGACCCGACACTTCTACATTATAAAGATGTCATCGATGTTATTTCACAAATGTACCTTTTGCAATCGAGAATTCACCACTAATAATGCATTGTTTTATTTAGGGCTTTTTTGGACTCATTCCAGACTAATTCTAATGTGGGGGAAGTGTCTTGCCTAAGGACACAACCACAGTTTGGCACTTTACAGGTGCCCCACTGTGGCACCTGCTGTTCCCAGAGGTCTCCCATCACAGTACTAACCAGGCCCTGCCCTGCATAGCACCAGCGGTCGGATGGGGTTAGATGCAGTTTATTCAGATTGACCAAGACGTGGAACACATGATGTGGTTATGGTGAAACCATGTGTGTTTCTCTGGTGTTTGCAGAGACTTGATGGTTTTTGGTCCCATTGCGTCGCAACGAGCGGCAGATTTCAGTGCTCTCCAAAACGCTCTGATTTCTTTAATTTGATTGCATTTTGTGACTCATCGAGCGTTTGAAGCGTGTGCTTCAAGTCGAGGAGACAGATGTTGTTTACATGTGCGCCAAGTTTCACACTAAGTTTCTCCTTTTCTTGTTCTGTCACGTTTTGGGTCTTTGTGGGAGGGTTTCTCTCATAACTTGATTCAAAAATAAGTCCAAGATTTCTACACTGCAAAAAGTGGAGAAAAAGCAGTAAAAAAAATGATGGAATTTGGCAAAAATAGTGGTTGAGCTCATAAAAGCTGAACTACCTGACTTTATTTTGTATTCATTTGGAAAATCCAATCCATGTCCAGTCAGTGCGTTGGAATAAACGTCCTTCTGAAGAATAAGTAGCGCTGGTTTGTGCTGGCGTGACATTTAATTTTAGATCGAGTTTTGATGAAACACGAAAGAGAATTTATTTTGGGACCAGATTGTGACCAATCACAGCGGACCACTGGCCCCCACTTTCTTGAGAAAAGCCACAGGTCTGTGGTTAGCACAGCCAGCTCAGGTAAAGAGCATCATGGGGGAGGTGAACCTGAAACTTCCCGTGTCTTCGTTATCGGTTACTGCTTACTCAGAGAAACAGCCAAAAGAAGAACGGAGAGAGGCCAAGAGTCTGAAGGACCGAGAGAGGAACTGGGAGAAATGTTGAAATCAAAGTTTGTAGCATATATGGTCATTATTTACAATGTCTGAGAGACCAGAGAGAGACCAGAGAGAGACCAGAGAGAGACCAGAGAGAGACCAGAGGGAGAGACCAGAGAGAGACCAGAGAGAGACCAGAGAGAGACCAGAGGGAGAGACCAGAGGGAGAGACCAGAGGGAGAGACCAGAGGGAGAGACCAGAGGGAGACCAGAGAGAGACCAGAGAGAGACCAGAGAGAGAGACCAGAGAGAGACCAGAGAGAGAGACCAGAGAGAGAGACCAGAGAGAGAGACCAGAGGGAGAGACCAGAGGGAGAGACCAGAGGGAGAGACCAGAGGGAGAGACCAGAGGGAGAGACCAGAGGGAGAGACCAGAGGGAGAGACCAGAGGGAGAGACCAGAGGGAGAGAGACCAGAGAGAGAGACCAGAGGGAGAGACCAGAGGGAGAGACCAGAGGGAGAGACCAGAGGGAGAGACCAGAGGGAGAGACCAGAGGGAGAGACCAGAGGGAGAGACCAGAGGGAGACCAGAGGGAGACCAGAGGGAGAGACCAGAGAGAGACCAGAGAGAGACCAGAGAGAGACCAGAGAGAGAGACCACAGAGAGAGACCACAAAGAGAAACCAGAGAGAGACCACAGAGAGAAACCAGAGAGAGAGAGACCAGAGAGAGAGACCAGAGAGAGAGACCAGAGAGAGACCAGAGAGAGAGACCAGAGAAAGACCAGAGAGAGACCAGAGAGAGAGACCAGAGAGAAACCAGAGAAAGACCAGAGAGAGACCAGAGAGAGACCAGACTGAGAGGGTACTAGCCTCACGTAAAAGCTACTGTTCATTTACAAAGCTGGTCTTGACATTTGTTGACGCTCCCTAAGTGCTTTTCTCTGCACTCGCAGCGCATCGGTTTAAATGGATTTAAATCTCCGGTCTCTCTCAGGTCTCTCTTTGGTCTTTCTCTGGTTTCTCTCTCTCTCTGGTCTGGTTTCTCTCTCTCTCTGGTCTCTCTCACACGTCTCTCTCTCTTGTCTCTCTCTCCCGCCTCTCTCATGTCTCTCTCTCCCGTCTCTCTCTCACGTCTCTCTCCCGTCTCTCTCCCCTCTCTCTTGTCTCTCTCTCACATCTCTCCCGTCTCTCTCTTCCGTCTCTTCCTGATCTCTGTCTGACAGTTTTGTGATGGATTGGACTTTGGACAGGGCTGTGGAAGTCTGGCCTGAGGCTGAGAGCTGCACTTGTGGCTCTCCCCAAGGCTACACACACACACACACACACACACACACACACACACACACACACACACACACACACACACACACACACACACACACACACACACACACACGCACACACGCACACACGCACGCACACACGCACACACGCACACACGCACACACGCACACACGCACACACGCACACATACGCACACATACGCACACATACGCACACAACACACACACACACACTCAGGTCGCACAGCCCCTCCGACGGGCCTGCACCCGGCATCTTCACGGGAAGAAGTATCTTGTTTAATGCTACTGAATGAAAAAGTGTTTGGGTTGTATTCTTTTCCTCAACTCCTTAATATAAAAGGCCAATTGGAGGTGATTTTCACGTCTGGCCGGAGAGATGTTGATGTGATGTGTGCAGAGAACTTGAGTTTGCATCTACAAAGCTTTTGTCTTTACCCAGTATGATTGCTACTTTACTCAAGCTCCAATAGAAACTTTAGAACACTAATGATCAACTTGTTTGATCTGGCCCACAATTTTATTCCAAAAGTCTGAGGATCAAAAGAATAAATCAAAAAGATTTGTGTTTGGGATAGATATGTTTCTGCTTCTATATATCTATTTATCCATCCATCCATCCTTCCATCTATGGACACTTCCTGAGGCTGCATAATCCAGCTCTGTGGTTTAACTTCGTACCAGTTATGTACAAAGTTACAAGACAAAACACACATCAATGGAAACAGCTGCACTTCATACAAAAATGAATGCATTTTATTTTCAGTATAGTCTTTGGATGACACACTTTAATATAATATCACCTTTAACGCAAAGCAAAACAATGTCTAATAAATATTTTGACTTTGCGTTGGAGATTTGAAGTTGGCCGATGACATAGAATTTCTATCACCAAATATAAAAAGACTTCTCCCCCTGAATATTGCTTATTCAGTGAAATACATCCATTTGTTTCAAAAGATGCATTTCATTATTTTCTATTAGACTTTTCTTGAACATGACATTGAATCACCATGGCAACAGAACATGGCGATGTCATTCTGTTTGTCGCAGCGGAACATTCTATCACCACAGCAACCAACACCATGTCATCGTAACCACGGCTCTGAAAAGTTCATGTGTTTGAAGAAAGACAAGACAAGGGACTTAAACAAACCCGAGGGAAATACGAGGATCAGAGCCCAGATTGACAAAGCAAAGCAAACGATACAACACTGACAAGATGTGGTGTTTTAGAAGAAACAGGAGTAAAAAGGAGCTTTACAAAGCCATGGTGGACAATTTGGTTCTTGCGGAGGAATCAAACCAGGCTTTGTTGGCTGAGGTCAAGAAACTGAAGGAGGAGAAGAGTGACCTGGTCAACGCTCAAGCAGAAGAAACATGCAGACTGAAGGAGCAGGTGACACAGCTGCAAACGGAGAAGTCTGCTCTGGAGAGGGACTTTTTGGAGTCCACCGCTTTCAACCGGCATCAACTTGACACCACCCTCCAGGAGAAAACCAGCCTTGAACTCTCGCTGCAACAAACCACCGGAGAGCTGCAGACCGTACAGCAGACGCTGAGGACTTTGGAGAAGCGTGCTGAAGAGGACAGGCGAAGGAATGACTCCATCATTAAAGGTATGGACACACATCTCTCAAAAGTTGACGATGAAAACATGAACACATTAGAAGTAATAAACTTTTGTCTTCTAGATGCTGAACATTATATTAAGGAGCTGGAGACCAAAATGCAGGACCAGGAGATGCACCTGAAGAATGGTAATTATGAGCTGGAGGAAAAATTGCTCAGGCTTCTGAAAGAGATAGAGGTGTTTAGAGAGAACTTTGTCCTGAAAAACTCTGTTTTTGCAGAAATGGAGGAGGAGATGAGCAAATTTAAGGCTCAGAAGGCCGAAACAGAAAAACTGAAGGAGCAGGTGACACAGCTGCAAACGGAGAAATCTGCTCTGGAGAAGGACTGTTTGGATTCCACCACTTACATCCAGAACCAACTCAAAACCACCGTCCAGGAGAAAACCAGCCTTCAACTTTCTCTGCAAAAAACCACCGCAGAGTTGCAGACGTCAAAGGGTGCGGTGCGGGAACTGAAAGAAGCTTGTGCCAGGTGTGAGGACAGGAACAAGGAGGTCACCAACTTCTCCAAGATCCTGAAGGAGGAGAACAAGGGCTTGTCCACAGAACTGCAGTCCGTAAAAACGACTCTGAGGACTGTGGAGAAGCGGGCTGAAGATGACGGGCAACGGAAGGACTCCCTCCTGAACGGTATGGACACAGATCTCTAAAAAGTTGAAGAAGAAAACATGAACACATTTGAA